AAAGTGCTTCAGTATCGGACAACACCCCTACCGCCCACCATGAAAGCTGGAACGCCCACTAGTGGGCGGTAGGGACCAGGTTGACTACCACTGCCATTCATCCAACAACCTGGAGAATGGATTAAAGAGCAACTCTTCCAGTTATTCCATGCTATTAGCCTGGAACAGCCCAGGTATCCCTGCTATGAAGTTTGGTTTGCTGCCTACTCCATATTTCAGCTATATATCTTACCCAAAATTTCAGAGATTTCAAAACAAAATAATACAAATTTCTGTAGTGTTTTTTTAATTCAGTTCTCCAATGTAGTAAAATTGTAGCCACAATATATTCTGAAAGATACCAGTTTTTGTTTATTTATTTATCAAATGTACTTGCCACTCATCTCATGGTTCAGTTTTTAAGAGACTGCTACAGGCAAATGATAAAATAGCATTTTTCCCCTTCCCTTCCCCATTATTTATGGTTTTTTTTTCTCTTTTCCCTCTGCCCACTAGACATTCTCTGTTGCGGCAATGTCTGGCCATGGACCTGTTCTTCACTCCACTATGTCTACTCTCAAGCTTTCCCCACAAGCTTACCAAGGAACCATCAACCAGTCTCCCCAGCCTAGTTCCAAGCAAGATTCCTGGAACAGCCTAGTCTTAGGGGAAACACATGGAGACATCATCACAGCTTAACAATCTTCTGCCTCTTCACCCCCTTCTAAGGGAGTTACCAAGCTTGGGACTCAAAGGCGATGGGCAATTGTCAAGCAATACTATTTGTTCTTTTTTTTTTCTTGTTTCTTCCTCCCATCTTTTGTTTTGTCTAGTTCTGGTCTTAGAAGAACCATTTCAAATTGCTTTGGCCTGTTCAATCAAAATTGCCAAGTTCTATTTTTAATAAATCCTCCAGATAACTTGGACATCAATATTACATGTTTATACATAACTGATATACAGAAATGTAATATCAAGTAGAATGTTTGTATATGTGTGTGTATATGTGAAGGGTATGTATGAGCTTGAATGGAAATTTGTAACTGCAGCTTTCCACATGTTGTCTTCAGACATCTTTTGAAAAATGAAGGAATGAATAAGCCAGCCCATAAAAATAGAATGGAGGTTAAAAAAAAGATAAAAAAATAAAACAAAAATCAATATATAAGCCAGCAATATCCCTAAATTTTGCATTATGGGGATCAGTTGCTGGTGGCCTTTATGAAAGATCTGATTTCCTGACCTGGGATGTGATTAGCCATTTCATTGCTAATTCAAAGCCAGAAGAGAAGAACCAGCAGCATATGCAGAGAAGAATGGAAAATAGGCTAATTGCTGGCAAAAGCTTGGATTTTGGTTCTCTATTTCCCATTTTGATTATAAAAAATATTCTTCCCCAAAGACACTACTGACCAAAGTTTATTGATAGTAAGAAACTCGAATGAATATTCAAGGACAGTGACCCACAAGAATCTAGAAGAAAATGGAGGTGCTGCAAATTCTGCAATCAATGGTGAACTGAAGACTCCAGAGTTTTTTTAAAGTATAGAACAGAAGCAACAGGTTTTGTCTTCAAACATAGCTGCAATCCACTACGGCTGGTGGACTTTTGCAGGAATTTTGTGGATCCAGCAATTTTATGACTGCCAGCAGCACATTAGTGTTAATTTAATTACTTTTCTGTCAACTTGATTAACCCCCTTCCTTTGCTATTAATAAATCTATTTTTCCTTTCAAAGCAACCAACTCAGTGTTTTACCTATGTGTTTTCCAGTTGAAAGAAGGATTCTCTATGATTTATATACAATCTTAAGCACAGCTGGAATGAGTGACTATAGATTAGCAGGCACCCATTTCAGAATATGGCAGGGGTAATGGGTAAGCAAATAATTTGAATTGAAAGTCTCCTTTCTGTCTAATATTAAGCATGGTGCCAGTACTAAATAAAACTTAAAAGAGTTTATACTTATGATCAAGGTGAACATGACCCGGTGGTAGGATTGACACTTCTTTTCACTCAATCTCATTCATTTAATAGTTGTTTTTATTTTTAATAGCTGTTTTGAATCTAGATGCTGCTAATTCTCATTTTCACAATGCCTGGAAAAAATGATAGCACTATTCATGTACAAGTGATGTGGTAGCTTAGAGGTGGTGCTCTCGTCTCACAATCAGGAGGCTGTAAGTTCGATCCTAGGTAGTGGCAGATATTTCTCTCTTTGAGAGCAAAGAGAAATCTTATGCTGCAAACTGGTAGGTGTCAGGAAGGATATCCAGCCAGTAAATGCTCAGCTCCATTCAGTCATCCCAATTCCAGCCTGATGCAAAGGATTATAGGTCATTAAAAAAGAGTACTGTAGTAATTCATGTGTTTTGACATTTGGATTGTCTTTATTAAATATTGGTGTTGAAAGACATTATCCTGTGATGAAATAATCAAACCACTGCAAAATATTGAATTCTGAAGCTCCTGTTCTGTTTAACAGAAACAAAGCTTTGTCTGTAATCATCAGTAAAATTGTAATGTTCACCCTCAGAACGTTTGTGATAGTTGTGAAGTTGTGAAGTATTTAGAATGAGCAGCAATCAATGAATTTGGATAAAGTATGACACTTAGATCCTAGATTACATGTAGAAGGTCCCTGATTTTATTCCAAGCATCTCAAATTTAAAAGTGAAGGAGATGATGGAAAAATTATGGATGGGGAATTTTGCTAAAACTTTCCTTGAATCTCTTTGGAAATTCTCTCTCATCCAAGTTATGGTTGTCCCTAAGGTGCTTTTTCAAAAGGCAACTGGACTTCGTTTTTCCTTGAAGACGTTTCACTTCTCATTCAAAGAAGCTTCTTCAGTTCTGAGGTTTTCTTAAAAATCTCTTTGCTACTATCTGGTGGATGTTTACATCTTTATGCCTAAATATGGGAGTCCTGGCTTGACTCAGATTTTGGGTATTCATTTTGATTATTTTCAGATTGCATTGCTTGTATACCAAAACTTGCTTAGAATGTCGCACACACCTCTTATAAATCTGAACATGAACAAACATAGAATCCTAATTCATTCAGGGACTGAGAATCCAACATGCAGGAAATGTAGACATTTCAGTCATGTGAGTCCCATCTGAAGTATTACTTTCCTGATTCAGGTTGGTATCTCTGAAAATTAGAATCAGCTTAGCTTGCCTATCCTTGATTTTCATCTGGTGAAAGAAGTCACCAGTGTAGGGCATTTCTTAAATCCCTATTCTTTCTAAGATGTAGCTCATCTTGGATCAGTGCAATCTTGTAGGACATGTAAACATTTTTATTTTAAACTATCAATGCAGTTTTACTGTGAAATGTTCATGTATACTACGCTCTGGCACTATTCTATTCCAAATGCACACACATATTCTATTTTTAATTGTCCTAGTTGTAATAACCGAGGCCCCAGCAACAGGGAGTAGAAGATAGCAACATTAGCATAAGCAGTTCTGTCTCTAAACAATATTTTCAGGATTGAATATTACATTGGTATCTAATAAACATACAAATTTAATTAAAACATACAGCTCAGTAATCCTTTCCAAACAGGATTGCCCAGTTTGCACATGCAATACACTTACATAAGTTATCTTACTTTGTGCTAGCTTGTGCATAGAACTGATTTGGAGAAGGAAGGAGCAAGTGTACCTCTAAGGTGCAGTTTTATTTGTTTTCAACTTTGAAACCCAGTACACACTGCAAGTTTCTGTAAACATTTCCCAATGCTTACCATGCCAGGAATAAGTGAGGTTGATAATCAGCACCTCTGTATTCTAGTTCTGACATTAGCAAGAATGAAGTCAATTGCACACACCTGAAATGTTCTTACTTTTGAGTCATCTGATGTCTCTGTTTTGTTCACAAAGCATCAATAAATTCCTACCGGAATATCTGAAGCTGATTTATTAGGGAGTAACCCACAGAATGGAAAGCATTTGGCTTCTGAATAAAAATGTATAGGAGGTTGGTATTGGAGGTGAAACCTGTGGTTTGCTGTAACTAGTTCTGCCACTGTTTGTGCTCAAGAAATCTGAGTGTAATGTAAGAAGACGTTGATCTATTCTTAACCTAGTGACTACTCCTTCAGATTTTCCAATGAGTTCATCTGTCTTGCTGCTGGGCTGCCTTTTCTACCTTTCTAAGCATTAAAGCTTTTTCTATAATATGTCCAAAGTAGGATAGTTTGAGCCTAGTAATTTGTGACTCTGAATAAGAACTTTGTGTAAATTTGTTTGATGGTCCTATTATTTTGTTGGCTATCCAGGGTTGTCTTAAGAGCCTTCTCCAGCATGAGCCTTTCAAATCTTGTGTGTTATTCTTTAAGGCAGCTTTAGTATGGGTACATTGTACACATCCTGAAATCTTAAAAAAGAAAAAACTTCCTGTGAGAAAAGGAAATCTCTGCAAGCTCATAAATAAGTTAGCATTATTTTTTTAAAAATTAGTTTTGTCCTTTTTATGGAGAAAATATATTGCAAATCAGAAATTCTGCCTGATTTGCCAAAATTTTTGAAAAATAAAGGTTATCAAGCAAGAAAAAATGATACTCTCTGAGCTTGGTTGTTTTCTTGCAGACGTTTCATTACCCAAACTAGGTTTGTTTTTTTCTTGTCAGCACACAATTAAAATAAGGCATACTATATGACATAAATTTTAAAATATAAAATACAAGATTAATATATGTACAAGTTAAGCAGATCTTCTCCAGAAATTGATGTTGCCTAATATGAGTAATGAAATGTCTGCAAGAAAACAACCAAGAGAACACCAAGGACCCCTTTATTTACACCCTGAGCTACAAATATTCTCCTTTATTGAAAAAGAATACCTTATTCTCTCAGCGTGGCTACATTCGCGCAAACTGCAAAACTAACCAAACTTAATGCTAACCACATTTTGCTTTTTGTGCAAATGTATTTCCACTTCGCCTCTTTTAGCAAGTTGTGAGAACACAAAACGGTGCACGATTACACTGATTCCACCTATTCCTCGCTTTTTCTCTCACAGTTCAAGGCAGCGAATGCAGAACTGGAAGGCGTAACGTAAGCGGCCTCCCAAGGCTCTAACCCAGCCCCGATTAATTCACTCTTCACAGGGCAAGATGGGCTGCGCAGAGATCGATGGAGGGCAGCCGTTCGGTTCTCTGCTAAAAAGGTCTGCCGAGATAGTTCCTTTCAGAAGGAAAACGGACGAAGCGGGAGCAAGAAGCCCTGCTTGGAAATGAAAGAAGGCAGGAGGCGATCAGAAGCGAGGAAGTTTTGATGGCTTCTGGTCCCACTACTTAAGTTTTACACAGGAAAATAACTATTTTTTAAAAAAAAAATCATTGATCGTACCATTGCATTTTATTTTCTTCCGACTAGACGTGAGCGCGCGTGTCTTCGTTCTTTTATTACAACTTTCAGGAATCGCCAGTTTAAGATGTATGTTTTTCGATTTGTATTGCAGACGCACGTCTTCCCCTATAATGCTCCAAATATCTATTGTAAATTGAATACCGTTTGTATTTTCAATCTGCTCTTGGTTGATCAACAAAAAATCTATGGTATCGGAAGCATGCAAATACCTATAAATAGTTGGCGACAAGCAACCCAGGATGGTCTGTATTAGGGGCTGGGACACATTTCTGTTAAAAATGTTAAGAGCAACATCAAAACCCAGACGTTCGCCATGTTTGGAGGTGGGGCGTGATACCATTCTTGTACAGGTAGTCCTCTACTTACGACCAAAATTTGTTTTTAAGTGAGACATTGAGTTTTGCTCCATTTTGCGAACTTTCTTGACACAGTTGTTAAGTGAATCACTGCAGTTGGTAAGTCAGTAACCTGCTTGTTAAGTGAATCTATCTTCCCCATTGACTTTGCTTGTCAGAAGGTCACAAAAAGTGATCATCTGACCACCACACTGCAGTGGTCATAAGTATGAACCTGTTGCCAAGCATCTGAATTTTGATCACATGAGCATGAGGATGCTGCAAATATCATAACTAAATACCACTTTACAATGCCTTAGTAAGGCCACACTTGGAATACTGCATCCAGTTTTGGTCACCACGATGCTGAGACTCTAGAAAGAGTACAGAGAAGAGCAACAAAGATGATTAGAGGTCTGGACGCTAAAACATATAAGGAACGGTTGCTGGAACTGGGTATGTCTAGTTTAACGAAGAGAAGGATGAGGGGGGACATGATAGCAGTGTTCCAATATCTCGGGCTGCCACAAAGAAGAGGGAGTCAAGCTATTCTCCAAGGCGCCTGAAGGCAGGACGAGAAGCAATGGGTGGAAACTGATCAAGGAGAGAAGCAACCTAGAACTAAGGAGAAACTTCCTGACAGAACAATTAACCAATGGAACAACCTGCCTCCAGAAGTGGTGAATGCTCCAACACTGGAAGTTTTTAAGAAGAGACTGGACAGCCGTTTGTCTGAAATGGTGTAGGGTTCCTGCTTGGGCAGGGGGTTGGACTCGATGACCTCCAAGGTCCCTTCCAACTTTTTATTACTATTATTATTATTATTATTATTATTGTTATTGTTATTGTTATTGTTATTGTTATTGTTATTATTACTACTACTACTACTACTACTACTACTACTACTACTACTGAAAAACTGTCATAAGTCACTTTTTTCAGTGCTGCTGTAATTTTGAATGGTCACTAAATGGACAGTTATAAGTTGAGGACTACCTGTACACTTAGTAAGAAAAAAAAGCTCTGATGAGGTTACCACTGCTAAAGGTTAGCATATTAGTTAGGTGTTTCTTAACCTTGGCAACTTTAAGATACAGTATGTGAACTCCAACATGCAGGCTGGGGAATTCTGAGAGGTGAAGTCCATACAACTTAAGTTGCCAAGATTGAGACACAATGAGTTAGACTATACTTCTCATAAAAGTATAATCTAAACAATGTGCAATGTGCAAAACTCCCAAAATATAACAGTTTGCGGTTCATTATGATCTGGTATTTTCATTTTTACCCTCTTTAACAGTCTTTCCTGGCTGAATGTACTTTACTATATGTTAGAAAATATAGAATTAGTGAGAAAGTGCCAGAAAAAAATGACATTTCTGCCTCCCCAAGGGTCTCACTGAAGTGTCTCAAATTTTTAAAAAATCACACAATTGTGTAGGTTAATTACAAGCTTAATCATACTTAAATTTTGATCAGTACAAATTAAAGGAGCTTATATTAGTCAAAGGAAATCCATAATAGGTTTTTAAAATAGGTTAATATCCTCTTATGTTAGAGACTGCCACTTTACTGCAAGTCTTAGTATATATTTGACATTGTTGTTCAGGCCAAAAGCTTGGAGGCCATCCTGGGAATAGCATTTTTAACCATTTTTCCCAACACTCTTTCAGCCTTGAACTTGATTGTCTGGAATCTCACAAACTCGGCTGTCATCCCCAGTTTTTGTGCTCTTGCAGCAATGCCAGAAGGACCCTCTGTAAAGAAGTTCCAGTTTCTGTGTTCTCCCTATGTAGGGAAGATGGTATCCAGGGTGGGAGGAAGCACTAGACAGATCAATCCGGATGATTTGAAAACACTGACACTGTGGGATATCCAAGTGAGTCTTGCTGTGTAATAAATATTTAACTCTTTTTTTTATAACAACCTTGGCTTATTTTGAATTAATGCTATTTTGCCAACATTATCATTGGTAAAATTTTATATAGCATATGACATCATTATTCTATACAGTAGAAAATACTACAGTCCAAGAAAGATACAGAAGATAGCTCTTTGCACCAGGCAAATTATAGACTTGATTATTATCCCTGCACTTCATGTATGGTTTTTGGCAATTGGCCTGCTTTTGGAGACTGCATCCCCCCAATTAAAAAAAAAATATGGCCCAAGTTGTGACAACATTTTGATATCTGTGTACAAGATCTCATGTTGGTATATGTAAATGCCATCTTGCTTGTGCAAGATGCCAGATATTTCTGAAATGTAATTTAAAAAATAACACTTTGGGATGTCTAAGACTGCCATGCAGGGTGGCTATATAAAATATGCTGCTTCTGGCTGCCATGTTGCTGGCCTTAGGTTTAAGAAATCCTAATAATTCCATTCTGGGCCTATTTTATGGGAGCTCTAATAGGTAAACTCTCCCATCCTGAATTTCTGCTTCATAGCTAAAGACTTGCCCAAATATTTCTGTTAGTAAGTTAACAGGCTCATCTGTTTCTCTCCCTTGCACTTTTATTAAACATTACAGAAGTTATATATTAAAAAAAAGACAAGAAGGAATAAAAAGGAAGGAGCACTGCCAGGGTTACTAACCTGGAGAAGATGAAATAGAATTAAAATGACTTTTTTTCCAGGTCCATGGGAAGAACTTGTTTTTGGCTTTTGGCACCAAAGAGAAATTAATACCCAGCCATGGCAGCATGTCCTCGGATTTGTCTGAACAAAGACTGGAAATGCCTGGAAGCAGTTCCTTCCTCCACGGCCAGAAAGAAAATGAAGTTGAAGTGTGCACTCCTGAATGCTATCAACAAGAAGAGTCAGCAAGTTGGTTGGCATCTGATATGGATAATAATAATAATGGGCAGAGTTGGAAATGGCTCCGCTTCCACTTTGGTCTTTATGGAAGCCTGCGAGCCAATGAGTTTGCAAGGGCGAATAAAGCAAACAAAAGAGGCGACTGGAAAGATCCAATTCCCAGGTTAGCACTTTGAGGTTTACAAAAGAAGTTTTACCCTACCGCTATACAGGAAGTCCTTGAGTTACGACAGAAATTGAGCCTTGTAATTATGGTCATAAGTCGTGATGGTCATAAAGTGGCTTACTACATGACTGGACCTGATTTTACAACTCTTTTTGTGATGGTCATTAAGCAAATGCCACGGTTGTCTTGCTGGAAATCAGAAGTAAACTCCAGTTTCCAGAAAAAAACATCACAAATTATGGTCACGTGACTAAGCAGTGCTGCTAATCGCTGTAAATGTGGGCCGATGTTATAATTTAAAAACCCGGTCGTAACTAGCTTTGGGGAGGGAGGGTATGTCATAACATCAGACAGTACTAAATGTCTGGTTGTAAATCGAGGACTATTTGCAGCTGGATTAGTTCCTCTGGAAACAACCCAACGGGTTCATATTTGTTTTATAAAGCAGAAACATGTAACTGGGCCAAGAAGTGCATTTTATTTTAAATGGTACCCGGGGGCCAGGGAAAAAACCCCTAGATTTTCTTTGCATTTAGTCAATCAGTTAAATGTTAAGTTATTAAGAAATTAAGATTCTCCATCATGCATTTACTATTTTGCCTCTTCAGTCACATTAAAACCTACAATTTAAAAAAGGTTTTGGGGATAATCTCGCAAGTTTTCAGGGTCACGTATGGCCCATGAAATTCAGGCTCAGCTCATCTGCTCTAAATTAATTCAGTGTTTGTTTTCATTTTGGATATTTAGGCTGGTTCTCCATTTTGATGCTGGGAACTTTCTGGTATTTTATAACTGCCGCATTCAGCAATGCTCTTCTCCTAGCACTGATCCAGCAATTGATATCCTGAGCCAGGAGTTTGATCGGGAGCGGGCTTTGAAGGTCCTTGCAAAAGATACTCCTGTGTGCTACATGCTCCTGAACCAAAGTTATTTCTCAGGAATAGGTAGGTTCAAAATAGATACCAAAATAAAAAAAAATTACATACATGCTTAATGTCTGGGATGTATAATGGGAATTGTTGCAAAATATGCAGAGGTTGTAATCTAGGAGGGCAGCAGAGGCTATTCTGCTAAAGAAGATTGAATTTTGCACATGAATTGACTTAAAAATAGATCTTTGACAACTATTTAAACATTACATTGAAGGCCAATAAAGGAACGGGGTCTGTAACACCCACATCTCTGCCATTTTAAAAATATGACAATTACATGTTTCATTTTTAAAAATTGTTTACATCCAGAATAATGAATGAACTGCCAAAAAAGCCAACACAGTGCTAGGCTGCATTAACAGAGGGATAGAATCAAGATCACGTGAAGTATTAATACCACTTTACAATGCCTTGGTAAGGCCACACTTGGAATACTGCATCCAATTTTGGTCACCACAATGTAAAAAAGATGTTGAGACTCTAGAAAGAGTACAGAGAAGAGCCACAAAGATTATTAGGGGACTGGAGGCTAAAACATATGAGGAACAGTTGCTGGAATTGGGTATGTCTAATTTAATGAAGAGAAGGACGAGGGGGGACATGATAGCAGTGTTCCAATATCTCAGGGGCTGCCACAAAGAAGAGGGAGTCAAGCTATTCTCCAAAGCGCCTGAAGGCAGGACAAGAAGCAACGGATGAAAACTAATCAAGGAGAAAAGCAACCTAGAACTAAGGAGAAACTTCCTGACAGTTAGAACAATTAACCAGTGGACCAACCTGCCTCCAGAAGTGGTGAATGCTCCAACACTGGAAGTTTTTAAGAAGAGACTGGACAGCCATTTGTCCGCAATGGTATAGAGTTACCTGCCTGAACAGGAGGTTGAACTTGATGACCTCCAAGGACCCTTCCATCATCATCATCATCATCATCATCATCATCAATCTGATAACTATAAACTATAATCTGATAACTCTCAGTGGCTTACTGTAAAATTAAATCAACCATGGTACAATTAAAAGGAATTATAATTTCATAAAACCTCTAACAAAGACAACAAGAATGTGTGAAATCACATAATGATGCCTATTGCCTAAAATGTTTTCTAACTGTCCTGCAGTTCCCTAAATAGCTGACAGCAGTGTATGTTTTTATTGTGTCTATCTGTATATATTCCTAAACTAACAATGAGAACAAAGAACATATTTATGTTACCCACTTGATATCCCATGAGATAGGACAAGCTAGACAGAATGACCGATACAAGATTAGCCATGAAGATTCATGACAGAGTTCAGATCTGAACCTGAATTTTCTAGTTTTCTAGTTTTCTAGTTTTAAGTTTTTACCTTGACCTACAGCAGCCTTTCTTAATATTTATAGTTCCTGTGATTCCCAATTCCCTGATAATTTGTTAGGAATGATGGGAATTGTTTTCCAAGATTCCTTTAAGGACTCCAGTTTGGAAAGGCTAATTCATAAGGATTACTTTTTTCACTTTACTTTCTTTACGGGCTCTCCAATGTTCAATTTCTCCTGAATTCTTCTCTCCTCCAGGAAATATCATTAAGAATGAGGCCCTGTATCTAGCAAGGATTCATCCGCTGTCCCTTGGCTCCTCTTTAGAATCCACAGATCTCAAATCTTTGCTTGATCATGTTGTTCAGTTCAGCTTGGCATGGCTCCACAACCAGCTGGGAAGACAGAGATTGCGGCTACAGATTTACATGAAAGATAAATGCCCCAAAGGGCATGAGGTAAAGAAGGCAACATTTGGACCACCAGATGGGTTGAAAAGACTTACCTGGTGGTGTCCACAATGCCAGCCTCGAGTGCCACCTGAAGAGATGGATATGCTTCTTGTACAAAGCACCTGATTTGCATAATCTCTTTGGTTGTGTGATTTCAAGAGTATCATGGAAACCAGGGAACAGGTTTATGATTCAACAGAGAACTTGCAAGCGCAGGTACCTCTTAAAGGGATTTAAGATTTACAATTACATACTGTGTATTGAGTCACTTGAATCATCACTTTCCACAGTCCAATTAATCCTGGGTATTTGTGGTTAATGAAAATGATGCAAGATCTGCAAATGCAACATTCAAGATGAAGCTTGCTACCAATGATGAAACTATTTGGAGGGAGAGGGAATGGTTCCCGTCCACCTACAATGTCAGGAATACTCTCTATGCTTGCACCATACTTGTCTTGGATTTACACAAGGTCAAACATTTTTTTCAGATTCTCATTCCAATATTCCTTTATTATAGGAATGATTCACATTAAAATAATTCTTTATAATTACCACTGTAATTACATACATCTGTATCATATTTAATTTTCTGAGGTAGGATTAAGAATCAAGATTATGCAAATGAGTTTTGATTTGTAAATGAGGAATCCAGTTTATAATTGACCTAAAATATTGGTATGCCATTAAATTAAAGGCATGGGATTTGGCTGTGAGCGATAGGAAGATTCAACCCTATTCTAGAATTTGAACGTGTTTAATGTTCAGATTAAACAAACCAAAGATTTGAAGTTACTAATAACAGAGATGGTATTTTAAAAGCTCCACTTTCTCAATTACTCAATATATATCTTGATATAGTAGGGAGAAGAGGCTTAGAATCTGGCTTATTTGAAACCTGAAAGCTGTCTTGTACATTGGAACGCCTGAATTTCATTAAAATATGGCTTGTGGGTTTGAATGAAATGTTTCTTGTGCTGATTTTTACATGATTGGGGTAGTGAAAGTAGAGCAACAAATGGGTTTATAACAAAGTTTGCCATATCTCATGAGATTAATTTCAAATTATTTGGGGAAAAGTACTTGACACTTCAAATAATTTCATACTCGTATTTGTTTGTCCCTTTTTTGTGTTCATCATCACTTAAACAAGAATTGAGAATGAAGCATTTATTTTTTACCAGAAATATTATTTTTGACCAGATTTTTATTCTCTTGTCTGATACTATGGAATTTTAAATCATAAAACATAACCCAGTAAGATTTGACAATTTTCAAAAAATTACAGTGTTTTGCTTTTATATTGGCAACTGTCATTAGTGTGCAGGAAGGCTATTGGTCTCAAGCAAATATTGAATCAAAATAGTAATTTAGAAGTCAGACCCCATGTTTAGAAGTTTGCTGAAGAAAATAATGGGATGGAAAACCAGGAATATTTTGTAAACATATTAGATTTCTAGGAGAGGCTGAAAAGAGCCCCCGTTTCTTAATTTTTATTATGTATTTCCTATCCCTTTGTCTATACCCCGGTTCTCATAGGAGCTTAGGGTATTCATGCAACACAACACATATTTTGGTACTGGTTGCTCTTGTTCTGCTTTTCACCATGGCTTCACTAGAAGAAGTTTCAAACAGATGACAACATTGACCCTATTATGGGATTGGAAACTAAATAGTATTAGGTCTGGTTAACATCTGAATGAGACACTATCAGAGAATCACAGGGATTCAAACTAGACATGGATGTTACAAAAAAAAATCCAGGGAGAAAATAATGGCAAACCACTTTCTTATGGTTGCCAAGAACATTATATGATGTGTGCACAAAATCACAAGGAATCTTTTTGTCTGTTACACAAATGTTACACAAGGCCTGGCAACAGACAAATGCAGAAATTGGGAAGAACCCTATCTCGTTCCAGTATTTCACTGGTAAGGAAAATGCTACAGTTACATACTTCTGGTCTCTTCATTTACTGCAGCCATAGTAGGCAGACATTTGACCTCTTTTGTTTTTGGCTAAGAAGTAAACAGAATTTTGGGGAATGATGCAATGGGCTGAATTTGGGCATAGGGTAAAAAAAAAAGTTTAAAAAGTCTACAAAGGAATGTAGAACCTGTTACTATCTCCCATGTAGAGGTCAAATGGTTTGGAGAAGGGGAATTTGTGAGTGAGGCTATTAGGATGTAACTAAATCTTTAAAGGTGTTGTCTGGTGGAATGAACTGACATTAGGAGACTCAAACATATTTTTAGGAAAAAGATTTTTCTGTGAAATCAAGATGCCCTTTCTAGTGGGCATCTAGTGAAAGGCTTTTCAATGACTACAAAAGAGCAGTTATAATCTGCCTAATTTTGTGTTTCTGCCAAACACAAGAACTCCTTGAGGAACTGAGGCTCTTCATAAAGTTTATTTTTCTTGACAATTTTACTTTTTTTCTCTAAATGTTCAGTGGTAAGAATTGGGTGTATAAGGAAATTCTAAATAGCTCTTTGAAATTGGCAAAGGGACAACATAACCAGCTTCCAGAGGTAGAGATAAAATGAAGGTTGTCTGCAATTGGATTCACACATTGTATTAAGCTGTGCTTAGCTATAGTTTATTGTATAAACCACAATTGTTTAGGTTCATACAATATTGTCCACAAGCAAGCAAACCACATTATACTTTAGGGCAGGGGTCCCTAATCCCCGGTCCGTGGACCAGTACTGGGCCACGGTATGCCAGAAACTGGGCCACACAAACAAGTGAAGCCCCATCTGTGGGATGCAGATAGTATGCAAAATCACGCCCCCCTTCAGTCCATGGAAAAACCTTTCTCCACGGAATGGTCCCTGGTGCCCAAAAGGTTGGGGACCTGTGGTTTAGGGTAAATCCAATCTGTTTTATCATAATCAGCACCCTCATACCTTTGCTACAACATGATATTGTAGAGCACTATCTGTTTTTGCATCCTTATAAAAGTGATGCCCTCAACACCCTGGTGTAGTCTGAATTGAGGAAGGATTTTACTAGAGGGGCAATCTATTGTGGGCTCTAATGGAGAACAACAACAGAATGTTACTGAAACCAATTAATGGAAATCAGCAACGGAAAATGTTTTGTTTTCCCTTCTAAGCCTCTTTCATAACTACTTATGAAATCTAAAGTGAAATATTTTAGTGTTACTGGAAACATATTCCTTGTAGATATGAGGTAAAGAATGTAGCCTAGCAGGTCCAATTATCCATTTGCTCTACTAACTTGTGGCCAATCAAGTACCTATAAGTCAGCAGTTCTCAACCTTTTCTATACCCCACACCCCTTCTGATATATTCTTGCATCCCTTACAAAAGTAATACCTAGTTATGCATATACACCATAATTTTGAAACTTCTAAGCCCAAGTTTTCGCACTCCCTGGAATATCATCTCACACCCCTGGTTGGGAACCCCTGCTATAAGCAATTGTAACCATGGCAAAAAACAGCTTCTAAGAAATGTTTGTAAAATAAATAGACAGTAAATTGCCGTGTGATAAAGTGTATTAAATTTTATTTACTTTTTTTTAAGCAGATCAATGGCTGAGATTGCTTGTATGTGAGGGTGAGTCCATCATTCTGGTCATGGAAAGAGTGTCAAAACAAAGCATCTGCCATCTCTACCATTCTCAAACATCAGGCTTGCTGAAAATTATAGGCCAACTGATCTGGAGTACACCAAACTGGAGACTTCAAGTAGCAAAATTACAAACAAGGGTGTGGATGGCAAAATGGGTTTAATGTATGTTAAGTCTTATAGTGCATGTTTATAAATAATAGTAACTGATAACTGAATAACAAGTCTTGATTAAAACAAATGGCTTAGTGAGATTTCTGTCATTGAGTTCCATAGAATTTATTTCCAAGGGGGGGGGAATACATTATTTATCCACTTATTCCAGGAACATTAGAGTCTGATGGTATTTTTACTTTTTCATCTATTTGCATAGGATTGTCATTGCCTTTTAACACAGTATTGAGGGTTATTTGAATATGGAGCAGATAGGCCAATTTTTGCATTCCTTTAGCATACTTACAATGTTCTGTTCCTTAAGTTTTTCCTTCATCAAAGTGTCACCAGAACATTTGAGGTGATTGCTACTTTGCCCAGTAATTTTAATTGTAATTTCTATTTTTCTAATGTTTCTCATTATATATTCCACTTGTAAGTTAAATAAATGAGGTGCCAGTAATCAATCTTTCATTATAGAGAAAATCTAGGCAGTTGCTAGGAGTCCAAAGTGACGTGATGGCAGAAGAATACAGAGAAAACCAACAAAGATGATTAGGGGACTGGAGGCTAAAACATATAAAGAACGGTTGCTGGAACTGGGTATGTTGATTCTAGTTTAATGAAGAGAAAGACTATAGGTGACACGATAGCAGTGTTCCAATATCTCAGGGGTTGCCACAAAGAAGACGGAGTCACGCCATTCTCCAAAGCACCTGAAGGCAGGACAAGAAGCAATGAATGGAAACTAATCAAAGAGAGAAGCAACCTAGAACTAAGGAGAAATTTCCTGACAGTTAGAACAATTAATCAGTGGAACAACCTGCCTCCAGAAGTTGTGAATGCTCCAACACTGTACTTTTTTAAGAGACTGGACAACCATTTGTCTGAAATGGTATTGGGTTTCCTGCCTGAGCAGGGGGTTGGACTAGAAACCTCCAAGGTCCCTTCTACTTTATTATTATTATTATTATTATTATTATTATTATTATTATTATTATTATTATTA